CAGTTTGCACTGAAGACACTGTAGTCTAGTATATCAAATGGTTAACTGTCAAAACTGTTAATGCAAATTGCTGAAAGCTTAGCGCTAACAACCTACAAGAATCCCACAGGGACGCTAATTGAAGTTGGCATTATCATAGAGGTGGGCTTTTTCCTCATGTTTTGACATTTATGGCCAAAATTGAAGGATTAGCTCTTATTATTACAGTTTGCCACTGATTTACAAAGATGGTTCTTTAAAGGATCCTTATCCTACACTTCCCTGTATTTTATATTTAGGTCCAATTTTGACATTTGTGTGGTTTTATGTACCAAAAAGTCATAATTAATTTCAATGACTCTTTTATCCCTTACAATAAACATGCTGTTTTTGTTTCTGCACCCTTGAGACAGATATGTTGTTGCTGTAGAAACAAAACCTTCTGTCTGCATTTATGTTGTTTTTTTTATTTTTGTACATAATTTGACATTACAAAAGCAATGAATTCAAAAAAGGCTTAGTTTCCATATACGGACAGCATGTTTTGGAACGTTCACAATGTTTACATACTACGTCAAAGTCTTATGCCAGAAGAGCAAGATATGGGTCTTTTAAAGAACCATCCTTTGAAAGGTTTTTAGGGAACCAAGTGTTGTTCTTCCATAGAACCATGCTAAAGATGCTCTTTTTGGCTTCTTTAGAGGACCTGGATGCATCTAAAAGAAGATCACAGCTCATGAAACTGATGCACCACAGGCTTTTCTTCTCAAGGTCAAATAAGGACACCTTCTCATAGGGAACCGTACTGTACCATTCCGCAGGCACGGATTACTGTTTCTCGCTCCGCCACGTGTGCACGCGACGACAGATGCAATCACTAAATACAGCCAATAGACTAAGATGGCAGCAGGGGGAGCAGCAGCCACAGTCATTTTAGAGCTCTGTGTAAACCCTGCTATGGGGTAAAGCTCGTCTAGTGACAGAGAGTGATGGGCCCAGAGACTGACAGACAATAAGCCACAGGGGAGGGCGACTGCAGCTCTAAAGCTGAGGGTTGGAGCGGGGAAGGTGTGGGAGGGGGGCACGCATTCAACCCCATCCTGCAGCAAACAGTGGCACAATGCAGTGACATCACTCTCCTGCAGCGCAGCAAGGTTATACCTCCATCTCACGTGAGGGAGAGAGAGAGAGAGGGAGAAGGGGCAAGAGACATAGAAAGGACACTAGAGGCAGCTGCCTTGCGACAGCACAGCAACACAGCTCCAACAATGCCCCCAGCCTCTGTCTTGATGAATGCAGCGCATGATAAATGCTGGCAGCCAATCTGCAGCTTTTTCTTTCCCACAGTAAATATGCTCCCTTATCAGAAAAGGGGGGATTAGGAATATATGAATCCATAATGAGGCGTGAAATGATGGTGGCATGGGGCGAGAGGACGGATTTTTGAAGGGAATCAATGCGGAGCTCTCTTCAGGTGGCGCTGCTGTGGGAAACTGCTGCGTTCACTCTGTGCATCCGATTAATGACATGAGGGAATTATAACATGGATCTTCCCTGAAAGTGGCGCAACAAAAGACAGCTGAAATGTTTTGGCACGACTAATGCTGCATGATAGATGCGCTTGGGTCTCCACCGCATCAACTTTAGGCGCTTTGATGTTGTGCAGAATCTTTGCCTCCTGTTGATTAGTTATCCATCTGTCTCTGTCTGCTGTATGTACGGATGAAGCGGGACTCCAATCGCTAAGTATACATCACAAAGACAGTAGCGTCCACGTGTGTGGCTGCAATTGTGCATATACGCCTGCAGGGGGGCACCAAGCCCACAGAGGGTGTTGAAATTATATGGCGGTCTTTTACAAACCAGGGCAGCTGCTGGTGTCAGAAAGATGTCCGCTAAGAGGTGAAGCGCTTAGCGTTTTATTATTCGGCATGTGTCAATATTTACAAGGGTGCTATGTGTGAAACTGGTTTGACTAGCAGGTCACGAGCCAGGCTATAAACAGAGGGCTTCTTCAGACAACATGGGCCACTGCAGAATGCACAGCTAAGATAACTATGACAACTTGATGAAAAAAGAAAGCAAAGTAAGACTGTACTGAAAAAAAATTGCAATGAATTTTCTAGATTCAAATGTGCACATCATTTCCACATGAAAGAAATATATTCTATTAGGCCTGTGCTGGTAACAGAATCCTCTTATACAGATAACTGTATGGAAAATAACCATGGTAAACTAGATTAATTATACTTTTGTGATGTCATAGAATAACTACAGCTTTTACAGGACCTTACATTTTTTATATTCTTTTATTTGACAAAGATTATGCTTCAGCTCATATGCTATTACTGCTTCCACATCTGCTGCAGAGTTAGGAACGGTCTACAAATTACTGGAAGACAAAGTATTGCTATAATAATAATAATAATAATAATAATAGTAGTAAAACTAATATTAGTATTTTTACCTCTTGAGTACATCTGCTGATGCTTCCAGGAAAATCACTGATGACGTGTTCAAAAGCATAAGCACATGTACTTACATAGATACCACTATTACTACTACTACTACTATTAATAGTAGTAGTAATAATAATAAAAGCAATTGTTTACTGACAGATGCTGTGGTCTCTGTAGCTGCTTAGCTCAGCCTGACTGTACAAAACCCAAGACCTGATTTTAGTAAAGGCCAGTGTCGTATATATAGTATATATTTTCATAAAAAAACATTTTAGATGCTTAAGCAAACTTATTTTTATAGGTTAACAGTGGTTTATTATTCTGCAGTATCCCTTTTACTTAAGTAATTTTTTCTTTGGTTTTTAACAACCACAGTAAATTTGTAACATCTTTGTTGTGCTAAACAGTAATTGATGACTTTATTTCTGCAAGGCTGGCAACTTTTTGTTTGAACTTTCTGTTCCACCTTAAATGGAGTAGCAGTTACATTTTGGCACCTGTGCAGGAGTCTAAATGTAAACTGCTGCAGTTTAAGGTGGAATGGGACATTCGTGCAAGAAGCCCACCTTAGCTTCGCCGTTTCTCAAGTCATTTGTCTCATAAACCTGTGCGTAAGACACTGCTGGAATTGGGCAAACAATACAGTCATTCATAGTCTTTACAGTTTTTACAGAATTAGGAGAAACAGAGGCCCAGCAATTGCTCTGGTGTCCAAGTTAGGCTAGGGCTAACCCCAAAAGACTGGCCATTCCTTTATGTCTGCTGCCTCAAAAACATAGTGGACTACTTCAGATGGAATTTTTATCTCATTTTAATTATCTTACTTCATTTACTTTGCAATAAATTTAGTTTATTTCAAGTGTTGTTTCCTGAAAACATGCAAAGTTATCTGCATTATTAATGAAAATATACAATTATCTGCCAAGAGAATGAGATAAATTCATAACATAAAATAAATAAATATTTACATAAATACATAAATAACCTTCAGTTATTCCTACAACAATCTAATGTTAAGAAATATTATATATATCGACTATAAGCTGATTTCACTTTGAAAGATATCAATTGCAGTGCTGAAAGACAAACCTGTGTTGATATTTTATCCTTGTGCAACTGATGTACACATTTGAATCAAGTACATAAATCATTTCTAAGGATAACTAATTGCTATCTATCAAATGAGGTCTATATTTAGCAGAGCAAGCTTCCTAAAGTAAACATTAGGGGTGGAAAAAAGACATGCTTACTTTTAAAGCCATTGTAAGCTGGGCAGTGTTCTCATAAATCATTTGTTACTACTTTGGCCCAATAGCTACTTTACAGGCCTCCACAGGCAGACCAAAAATTCTCCACCTCAGCCCTCGCCTCTCAGTGTCTGTGGTGTGGGCTTAAAGTGGGCCATACATCTGCTGAGTGGAAGCTTGAGATTACAGCCCTTCCACCAAGAACACCACATTCTACCCATGATTACAGTGCTGCGCCATAAAAATAGCGCAGGATTGCGGGGCACTCCCAGGATTCGCTCTGTAACTAGCCCTGTGCGTTGTGCACTGCCTATCACAGCTGCCACCTGAACTCAGCAGCAGAATATTCCAGGCTCCAGTTTCTCCTTGACAAGCCTAACCACTGCAATGCTATTCAATGCACGATCTACAGAAACGATAACTATGTTCATACATCAACTGTTTTCTCAGTCTCCTCTGAGAGTAAGATGAATATAAGGTGTTACACACTGAGAATCTCTTTTATTGGCTTTTTTCTGCAGCTGGAGAATTTAAAGGGCCCATATGCTGTATTTCTTATTGTATGTCATCTTTTATCCCTCAACTTATAATGTTTTTGTAGCGTTACTCACCAAAAACTGTAATAATTGACAAGTACATGACAATTTACCAACCTCTCTTTATATCCTAGAATTAAACAGGCTGTTTATGTTACTGCGTTTTTAAGACTGAGTGGGTGGGGCTAAACTTCTGCCTGCTGATTATGCAGATATATTTGAATGTGTTTATGTGACATCACAAAAACAGTGAATTCAAAATGGCACATTTCAGACTTTGTCAGTGTTTACATACCTCACTTTTATTTAAGAAAAAAGGGGTGCTTTCCACAATATGGGCTCTTAAAAACACGCTCATATGCTTGGCTAAAATTACTGCCCATCCCCCTATAAGATCTTAATCAACTCTGCATGTTGATAGGGATTTTAAAAAGCCTTTGAAATCAAGAGGAAGAAAAAAAAAATCCTATTTCACGCTCTGAGCCTCCCCGGCAACAAGGAAACGTTATGCGGACACATAGCACAGCTGCACAGAGGTGGATTGTACAGTGTTCTACTTCTGGATTGAAAAATGGGATCAAAAAGAGGCCTCAGCAACCCAAACATTACACCCTTCATGCATACAAAACATGTCTGATAACGCCATGTGCAGATACTCTGTCTTCAAAATCATAACAATAATAAACACAGGCTGCACTCCAATAAGACCAAGCAGAACAATCAGAGAGCCGTTAGACAGCCAGTGCAGCCAGTGCACTGAAATCAGACAGACAGCGCACCTCCGAGTTGAATCGAATCTGACAGACGTTGCAGGAGATGATGGGCCGCTTGGTCTTCACCAATGGGACTCCGAAGGTGTGGTTGATCACTGCCTTCTGAACAGGATCCATCTGGAATAGAGGGAGGGAAAGGGGAAAGAGAAAGGAGTGAAACTCAACTCTGGTACACAGAAGCAGCATCCATGAGACAGACAGGGTCATTAATCAAGTTGATGGAGTGGTCTAAACGGCCTGTAGGTTAGAGATCAGCGAGTACAGCGGGGTCGGTGAGAGAAAAGGGTCAGGTCACTTTGAGACACTCCAGGTCAGCACCACTTCTCACGGACTGTATACTCCTTACAGTATTACACAGTATCAACGACTTGGCTAATTAACAAAGACAACCCAGCTAATTCACTGATAACACTGAGCAGGCTCCCCACCATGCCACACATGTGATAATTAGGGAATTAGCGATTAGCATGCACACCAAAGCCAATTCATCAGTATCTTTGAGTAGAACATACTGATTATGAGGCCTGAAATTCACCATATACTGAAGAACAATCACTTCAAATGTGATAGAAAGTTTCTTGAGAAGCACTGATCTTGAGAAGTGAGACTGGAAATATCATAAATTGCTCTACCCAGAGATGAGTTTGCTCCTGGCAGTAAACAGAGCAGTCCTTGAAGGATAGCGCTGCACTGACTGTTTTGTCAGACATTCTCTAGCAGTGGTGTATCCAGTGACATCACCCTAATTGTTTCAGTGGAGGTGTCCATCACCCTAGGCTTGGAATAAATTTAACCGGTTGGCTTCAAAACATGTCAAAATGAGCTCCATACACAAAGAGATCTTACTTTTCTGTGTATTTGCTCTGTTAGCAACCAATTTCCATTGGTTATCATTGGCTTGACTTGTCCGGTTGGTTATTTTTGGGTCCTATGTTTATATATTGAATATACTGATCAAGGTTTGTACAACACATATGTCAAATTCTTCTTCTGGTTTAGTTTAGAAGCGCCTGTTACACTAAATAACACTGTAGTAGGCATGAAAAACATTTGCCTAATTTACACAGAACATCTTTTTAACAGCTCAAAACTAATTTAGATGGTATTCATGCCTTTCATTTCGACTTCTAAGAACAACAGGCTTTAGCAGGCCCGTGTGTAACATCCTCCCTCGGCTGGCTAAAGGGGGGGGGCTGAAATGAATATTCCCTAAGTCAAACAAAAACAGTTTGAAACTCAGCACAGGCATCGTATCCAAGCAACCTTCTATTAGAAGTAAATATGCAGAGGGTTGAGACATGGAGCAGGGGGGTGACAGTGCAGACATACACCATCTGCAGGCTAACGGGCCCAGCGCCGGACTTCCTGGGATAGCTCCCCTCTTATCTCATTTGGCTGCACACCCCAAACTCATCCGTCCACCCCAGCACTCTGGGGGGAGGGTGGCGGGGGGGTGGTGATAGTGCCATGCATGTGTGAAGTCTACAGCGCTGCAACAGCCAGACAGGCACTGGATTAGCCACAATGATGTTGTTCTATGGCTTTGCCTTCATGAATCTTCCAGGGATTAACTGGAGCTGGCAGTTAGCTGGGTAATCAGAACGCCTCAAGCCAGAGCGCATCAATAGAACAGATACAACTGTCAGCGCTAACCGGCTCTGCCAGGAGATGGACGACAGGCTTCGGAGGAGCATGCAGGGGAAAAAAAAGGGGAGTTTTGGGAAAGGCCTCTAATTAGCCTCAGATTAGTTTTAGGGCGCTGAAGCTTTTTAAAGTCTACTCAAAGCACTGTAAGAAGACCACCCTTAAAATGAAGACTAGCATAAGCACCAAAATGTTGCTCCAGCCCAAAAATCCGGGGAGTCGCCCCTCTGCGCCTTGAGAATCAGAATAAAAATAGCCCAGAATACAGAGCCAGAATGTGGCTTCTTCTGCAGTTTACTCCCATATCTAACACACCCATTTCATTCACTTTGGAGGACAGAGATGAATCATGCCATAGTGAATCATATGATCTCACTAGCACAACAAAAGCACTCTTGGCTAAAATGATGATAATAGCATACAGATGATATCTAAGGGGGAGAAAAAAATCACTCATCAAAACACTGTCTTCAAAAACAAAGCCTGTCATCCTGGGTTGGTGGAGGCCAGTGTAGAACGGATATAAATATCTGCATTATTTTCTTCTTTTATGATGGTTATCATGTGTAACGATGCCCCACAGAACATGCATCAACACAGAGACCTACTAAGCAGCAGCAACTTACAACTACACTGTCAGCCTAAAAAGCAAAGCCTACCACCTGGCTAACAGTGAGTATTAGTTTTGGCAGATGTAGTGTAACCGTAATTTGACTGGGTGATAAAGTGTAAGAGTACAGAACACAGTATCTGTGTAGTTTTCTCAAATTACCACAGACAGCCCACATAGCAAAGTTATCAGCCCAGATATTCATGTCAATATTGAGTGATAGGGCTAAGATTCAATAACAATAACAAGACGGAGCACAGACATTACTATTAGCAGGTTTTGTTATTTCATTACTCTGAGGTAGATTCAAACACGACGAATATTACTACTATTATGCCTAGCTCAACCAATTTCATAACATCATTCACTCCAGACATTTTGCTGTCATGCTGTAAATATGAGGAACGTTGGAGATTCTTACCGGATTAAAATTGGCAGTATTACAGTACCACCTTGGATAGATAAATCCAGCTCTGTGAAACTTCTATTGCTTCCATTCGTCACTTCTATAACTTATTGCAGTCATTCAGCGTCATTTCCTATGACGTTACGGAATGTCACATAGGTGAATGAGGCAAAGCTACTTTTTATTATTAAAAATGTGGTTAGATGTTGACCCTCATACAATGCCTCTGAGCCAATCACATAATTGCTTGTTCTATACCGAACAATACACCTTAGAATCTGGAAATACAAAGGACCTTAAGAGCTTACCTCACACAGACTCAAGAGCAGACCCAAGAGAACCAGCATTTCCCTCCCTCTGTTCTCTCTGATACCTATTTTCATCTTTTCTCTGCAAATATCAGTGCCACATTCCAAAAGCTTAACATGTACTGCCACAGTGCACACTCAGGAATATTCTGGCAAGAACAACAAAACCCGCACCACGCCAGATAAAACAGCCTTTGAAGTAACTATACTGCTTTGAATAGTGTCCAGCCTGTCGTGCCTGGAGAGTACAGCAAGGGCTTTGCTCTGTTTTTACCTCTCTGTGCCTCAGCTCCTCGTTCATGTGAGTCACTCACCTTTGTGTCCTCAGCGCTGCTAGGAGCTTTCAGCTGCATCCGTCTGCTTGCAAGAGCGCCCGCGCACGCGTGTGTGTGTATGCAGTAATGGGAGTGTGAGTGTGCAGCTTATTCAGAAGTGATCCTGGCTGTCCCACTGCACCACCTGATTCCCACGCTCGCTTCTTCACACACCCACGTGTGCACACACACAAACTTCAGCATCCCCTTCTTAAGGAAGTCCAGTCTACACACACGCCCACAGACCGGCGTGTTTACAGATCAGAGATATGTCTGTTAGTCCTTCTCTTCTCTTTCTCGGATGTTAGTCCTTCTCTTCTTTTTCTCGTGTATTTGTTCTTCTCTTCTTCTCTTTCTCGTGTTAGTCCTTCTCTTCTTCTCCTTTTGCTGTATTCTTTTGCTTCTCTCTCACCACATTCCACACTGTAATGTTCAAACTTCTGTCATTATGTTTTGGTTTCTCTCTCTCTCTCCCTCTCCCTCTCTCTCTCTCTCTCCCTTCATTCCACTTGTTGCTTCAGTGTCAGCCAAGCTCATGCCATTAATGCTCTCTCTTTTTTCTCTCACTCTCTATTTCTTTGTGCCTCTCTTTTTCCTCCTTCTCTTTTACTCTTTCTCTCTCTCTCTCTGCCCCTTCCTTTATTTTGTCTCGCCTTTCCCCTCTCTGTCACTTATTCATTCACTAAGTTCTTTTATTCTCCTCTTTCCATCACCAACTTCCTTCGATTTCTCTTTTACACACTCTCTCATTCAGGCATTCAGGCACGCACACACACACATACTCACTCAATCTGTCCAGATGCAGTGGAAATGTCATGCACTCTCCTCTGCTTTCTCTTCACCCTCTCTATTCCCTCTCTCTCTCTCTCCTCTCTCACAGCGTCTATCAGCACACAGCTCTGACCAGCTTGTCGATTTCACCCCTCCTCCTGCACCCCCATAGTGACTCAAACACTTACACTAAACGCCTCCCGAATACGAACTGTTCTCAGACAGCTGCAGCCCTGCCTCTATTAGAGGAACATGTGAAAACATCATGAACCATGGAGGCTGATAGTATCATCATAGGTTAAAGTGATAGCTGTGTGAAAAAATCTATTTAAACAATTCTCCCCTTTTCCAAAATGTAGTCGATAAGACATGTTTGACATTTGAAGTCTGCTTTTTTTAGTTATGCACTTTGAGTGCAAGGCTAATGTAGCTAATACTCAACCAATTAGCACTGTAAAAAAAACATGCTGAAACCATTACATGTGCCTCAAACCAAGTGGATAAGAAATCTCAAACAGACTTGCTTATGTAGCTTCTGACACTGTAAGACCTACTACCATCTATAAAAATGGACAAAGGTATAAACAAAATTCAGATATTAAGGCAGTTACTGCCACTTTTGAGCTGTGCAGTGTTCTTTAGTCCATTTTTATAGATAGTATATCTTCACTATCGACAGAAGTCCACCACCATTTTTGGGGTAACACTTTTTTTACAGCCACTTAAGTCTAGATATTAACCAGGTGAGTGTGAGTTACAAACATCCCAGCAGCAGGTCATTATTTTGGGTGACATGTTAGTGTGTTTCAAGACAATTAATTTAAATTACCCTGAAATGCCTCACATACTCTAAATTATGGCTGGGTAAGTGTGAGGTACAAATTCCGAAGTACTGTATAACAGTTTTGACCAAAAAAAAAGTAAACAAGGTAACAAGACAGTCTAGCTTTATATTTACACTGAACAGGTTCTAGCTATTAAGAAGATAGAAGTGAAATTTAGTGTGAGTGTGTTGGTATTTACCACCTTGTCTCTTCAAATAATGGTCTAATTATGAGATATTTTATATTTTATGCACCTATTAATGCATAATTTAGTTTGTCTGTCTTAGTACTTACCCTCATTTCACCCAGAATAGTTAAACAGCACTTCAGTGTTAAGATTTTTGCTTTTATCAGCATTATTCAAATGTGAGTAAGAGCACATGCACACATCTCTTCATGACTATTAATTTATTTATAATAAAAGCTATTAAAATATTAAGAGAAGCTTTGTCAAATACCACACATCACCAACATTTTTAATAATGCCTTATGCTACAATGAGTACCAACAAACAATGCAATTGGCTAGGTTTAATTACACCAGATTACACCATTTTTGCCCACAGTAAGGGAGTGCTTATGTATAAATGCGAATGAAGACACTATCAAGCAGGGTTTTTTGAAGGTACCGTATGGCTGAATATCAGCTGGGCAAGTGAGTGTCACTGCTGCTGTCATGGATTAATATCATGCTTACCCCAGGCATTCAGGCAATTGTTAATGTTGAACTCTGGAACCTATTAGATATTAAAGTGTAATTTAGTTAGAGGGTCTTAGAACTTTATTTTACCCAAAATAATTAGGCCCAATCCCATTTCACCCCTTGCCCCTACCACTTAGCCCTTAGCCCTCTGTTTTGCATGTTGATGCCTAGGGGTAGGGTGTCCCGATTTTTGTTGAGATAGAGGGGTAGGGCAAAGTTATAAGGCTACATGACCCTCCAAACTGAGGTTTTTCAAAGGCGCACTTCAAATGGAGTGCTATGAGACAGCAAGATGGCTGCGCAGACGAGCAAAGAGAAACCCAAAATGGTTATTCTAATGTCTCAGTAGCTACCTGGCTAAATTTTCCATTCCACCACAAACAGTCCAGCAGTACTGACAGCTGAAGCACCAGAATGTAACTGCTGCTCCATTTAAGGTGGAACAGGAAAATTTTAACGAGAAGCTGGCGAATGAGAATCTGACTTCAGCTTCATCTCACTAAAGAATTAGGGGTGGGCAAGAATAAATAAATGCCACATTCTCCTCTGTGAAGGCATATGATCCCCTAAATTTAACTACAGCCCATTGTTCAAATTTACCCTCCTCTGGTATCACTGCAGGCTGGCAGGGTCGCCTACAGAGCAGCCAGGCTAGTAGCCTGTTCATGAAGTAATGTTCTTTTTTATTTGAGGTTTGTCCCATTTTGTAGAAGAAGATTTCAACCACTACCCCTTGTAACTCATTTCCAAAGGGCAAGGTGGCACTCAAAAACAAGGGGTAGGGGTAAAAATAAGAAATGGGATTGGGCCTTAGATAGTACTTTGGAGTTTGTACCTCAAACTTACCGAGTTAACACCTAGAACTTCTTATATTCTATTTTTTGACATAGTTTGTAAATACCACTTGTGAAAATTTCATGGTGGATGGACCAATAGAAATCCTCCAGATTGACTTGAACTGAAATCTCATTACATGAACTTCTATGTATAGTTAAATGTTTTTTACTTATCCAGTAAAGTTACTGTTCTGGAGACACAATGATTTGCTCTGAGCATGACGATATCCTATAGTGTCAGAAACCACATAAGCAAGTCTATTTGAGATCACTAAACATCTTAATGTGCTTTGAGGCAGGTGTGATAATTCAACCATGCAGTTTAGCAATGCTAATTGGCAGTCATAAACCTCCATTACATTAGCCACATGTGCTTCATAGCTCCAATACAAATCTCAAGAAGCAAACTTTGCACACTGAACATATCTTGCATGATTGACTACATTTGGCGAATGAAGGGAAACTGTGTAAATTTGTCAAAATCCTTTCCAAATGAAACAGTAAAAGCTATGCAGGGTCATTAGATGTAAGTCAAAAATTGTTCAAAGCCTGAAAAAGTCTACGTGGACTTGCAATATGGTTTTGAACTGTGTTATGGAAAACAGAGACACCACAGAAGGAGAAGACGGGTGGCTAAATTCCTAGAGGATGCAGCAGGTGAACGGCAACAAGTCAGCACACAACCTGTCCACTCCAACGACTTTCAACAGAAATTCCTAACTCTGCAGCATAAGCAAGTGTGTGCCAGGCACTCGTGAGCCTCCACGCCACAGCCAGCTGCCACCGATAAATTATGCAGGCACGTCTGTGCCTCTGAGCACATCCATTCAGACAGGCAGGTAGATGGCAAATCACATTAAAGTCACATTAAAGCTCCTGCGTGAAGGAATACAGGACAGAACTGTCAATTGTCACCGACTCCTTAAATACACAAGACCACTTCCGAGTCCAAGTGAGGTGGATTAGCTTGGAAAATGCTATTATCATGGTCATAAAACGTGGTATGTACCGATTTCCAAGACCTAATTCCTTCAAGTTTTCATAAGCAGGCAATCCCCATTCCTTTCACTTTCCCTGACAGATTCCAGACACTACTCAGCCAGAATGCCTCCAGCAGGGTTAATGTGCCTCAGTTTTATACATCAGTAACTCATTCGAGCCATGTAACAGTTACACAGGAACGCCCTAAACTTCTAGCCTGTTTAGTGGAGGGGCTCCATCAAGTGGGATAAACTTGCTTTCTTTGGCTGTTTATACAACCTTCCCCTGTCCAACCAGCCTGGACCAAAACACAAAACTAATTATTTTAAGTAAATTGTGTAGATTCTACAACGATTCTGCTGGTACATTTCTTTCCATAAACTGCAAATGACTTTCCATAAGAGAGTTCATGTTTCTGGTTAAATTCTTAAAATTCAGTTATCATAATTTTTTACAGTGGAGATTCAATTGATATTACAGATTCTAAACTTTTAATCAGTACTGCAGTTATGTGTGTAGATACAAACCCAATTCCAAAGTTGTCACAGCATGTGAAAAAATTAATTAGTAAATACTGTTTCATGTGTATCTTATATTAAAACTTATCTGTTTTAATTAACAGTTCAGATAACTTAACTGTTATCTTATGAACATTGTTTGTACACATACGCTTATTCCACATTCAGTGCCTGTGACACATTGTGAAAAAGCTAAGGCAGGATCATGTGTCTCATTTCCTTTTGACAACCCACCTTTTCTGTTAACAACACTAAAAGGCAGGGCATGTGGCTTTAAAATGTGCTCAGCATTAATAGTGCATTCACAGATGTGCAAGTTACCCACCAACACCCCGATACCATGACAGACCCTGATTTTTTAACTTTACGCTGGTAACAATCTGGACGGTCCTTTTCTTCTCTGGTCCAGAGAACAAAACATCCATTATTTTTTAAAACAGTCTGAAAGGTTGACTCGTCTGACTACCACATACATTTCCACTGTGCCTTATTTCAGATGAACATTTAATAATGTTTCTAGTCTTAAACTGTCCCTGTCACAACTTTTTTGGAACGTGTTACAGGCATCAGTTTCAGAATGAAAGCATATTTAGAAAAAACAATAAAGTTGACAAGGTAAAACACTACATATCTTGTTTTTGTATTGTTTTTGTCCAAACACAGATCAAAGAAGATGTATAAGTCACTGCTTTCTGTTTTTATTTGCATTTTTTCTACTGTCCCAACATTTTTCGAATTTGGTTTGTAGAAGAGGAGATTTGAATTTGACAAAAAGTTATTGTTGTGCACAGAGACTCATTTCTCTTCCGATTTTGCCATGTTTTAGTCATTGCCTTACATCAAAACAGTGTGATAATACCTCATGTAAATTGATTGTAAATGTTGCTCATTATGCAATGTAATAAATTATTATGTAATTACAAAGAAAATTGAAAGTCATCATTCTCAAGTTCTAAGGGTTAAAGACAGAATGCCTTAAAACTAAAGGATTGCGTTTGCATTTCGATATCTACCCCAAAGCAAAGCGTACACTGTACAATTTCTACCTCATGCTTTGGTTTCAGAGACACACAATGCGTGCTAATGAGCGCAGGCTTTCTTATCTGATTGCTAAGCGCTGCAATCTCAGAGCCACTGTCCAGGTGTGCTGTCCTGTTGCAGTAGAGAGCCCAGTTATTACTACCTGTGAGGGGGAATTCTTGTAAATGTCAGTGTTCCATTAGGCAATGGCGCAGGCACTGCAGTGTGGTTTTTCAGTGGCGTGTGTCCTACAGAGGGAGGTCAGTATGTCCTCCCAGCCTCTCCAACACCCCCATCTGCTGGGCAGCAGGCACATTTCCCCCATCTTCCTCTCCCT